TCTTTTTCACCTTGAATCAGTTCCGAAATATTGGCTTCAATGCATAAACCAACCTGAAAATAACAAGCCAAAAATGTATTGAAGCATTAATGACCGGGGCCGTCCAGAGTAGCGTCCAACTCTAGACTTGGTTCATGAACCAGTCGATCAGGTGTGGATCCACTTGGCTTGGCCTGATCTAGGTTGAATCCATGTTAGGATTGACTTGACCCTTCTCGACTCGACCTAGGATGTGGTATATGTTTTTTACATGTGTATATAATATTCTATATTTATCAAATATTATAAATATTGAACGCAATATAACTTTATATATTAGAAAATATAACTTTAAACTTTATAGTCTCAAACCCAATCCAATCCTGGTCGGCCGACATTTAGATGCATGTGATTGGGACACACACCGGATGCGGGGCTTACCTGTTGGTCTACGGTCCTAATAACAAGATAAAAAAGGACCTAAACTTCTTTTTTTGGTCTAGTCTGTGGACTTGTTCTCCGAAATTGAGCCGGCTCATAAGTTAGAAAGAGGAAAACGTTCTGTTTTTTTATTTTGACAAGAGTACTTTACTTTTTATTAATAAGATTTAGATTACACAGCATTGATCGCAATAAAACATCAAACATCACAAGAGACTCGAAAACAGCCCCTTTCTTAGCCAACTCGTCTGCAACCTCATTTGCCTCTTGATATACAAGATGAAAACTGACCACCATTGATGTTAAAGTTTCCATAACCTGTAATCAAATGGATCTAAGACACCATGGCAGTTTGGATACTAAACACTACTTAATGACATTAAGATAATCACCTTCAATAATCAGAATATTACCTAAACCTTTCTCCTTCCAAGTTGCAAAAAAAAAGCCAATTCAGCCGGATTTACCAACGCAATCCCACATGGCCCAGCATAACAAAAAACGATAGAACCCTCACTATTTCTACATACTCCACCCACTCTTGCACTCCCCATAACCCCCAATGAAGGAACTATCAAAATTCAGCTTTAAACATCCCTGGAATGGAGGTTCCCACTGAGACTTCGGTCTGGCCTTAATAACTAAGAGATGATATTAGCCATATTAAGCACAATATCAAACTTAAAAATCCCAAACCCTTCCTTTGTGACGCTAAACTAATTCCAAATTGTATTCGAAATTTTTGTTCGAAACCTTTGAAGCTCTAAAGACAGTCTATCAAAAGTTCTTCTATTTCTTTTTAGCCACAATTCCTATATAATAACCCACCTAAAAATATCCCAAAGAATTCCACCAGTTTAAGATGTTGCATAACATTAATCAAAGACCCTGGCATTATTAAATATACATCAACTTACCAAATACAATAAGAATAGAGACAATAAAAGAATAAATGGGCACATGTTTATTTCCCTCTTTTTAAGATTATCAATAGTGGGAGCCTTATCTTGAATCATCACCCAAATAAATCCTTATACTTTGGTAAGAATCTTCCATCTCCAAATCTCCAAATCTCCTTAACTCCGGCTGACTCCATGTGATTCGATCATGGAAAAGCAAAGAGTACACAGATCTAATTGAATAACCCATCAGTTTCATATACCCAAATAGCCTCATCCTTAGCCGAATTTGATATTCACATGGACTAACACATTTAGCAAATCCGACAACTGATCAAAGACGACAGGGGGCATTCGATTATATTCAAGAAGTGATATTCCAGAAAACAGCCCCACCAATATGCTCACCTATATCACTCACCATAGCCATCGGATTTGAATACTGTTGAAAAAGATCAGGATACATAAATTTAAAAGCTGAATCTGAAGCCCATCTCTGGCGCCAAAAAAGAATATTCATACCTGTACCCAGACCATCTAGTATGCCTCACCACAAAGGATCTCATTGACATGATGGACTTCCAAACATGGGACTGCCTCGAGCCCCCTCTGCACCTGACAATAAACTGATTTAATCGATCAACTCCAAACTATCCAATCAACACTTACTTCTAAAGACAATATTTCTTATTGTCCCCAAAGATCCCCATAAAAATTTCCGCATCAGCTATTCAAGTTTGTTTAATATTCAAGTTTGTTTATAATGTCTAACGGCACCATCAACCAGCTCCAAAAGATTTTATACTCCTATGGGATCATATAACGTATGTTTACTCCTTCAGGTAAAATCCAGTATAGGAATAATTTTAGGAACCAAAATTGGGGATGTAACCTTTTCAACCCATGGACTAACCTCACTTGAGAACTTTCGAATCGAACTCTCTTTGTACTAGAAAACATAACGTCACAAGATTGAATATAGATCATCCAAGTTTTTAATGGTGAGATCTAAGTGTCAAAAACTTAAAATTCAAAAAAAAAATTGAAAATGTTCTTCTGGTGATTCTCAAGTTGTTCCCAAAATTCCAGACTAAAAAAATTCCTCCCTAGTAAATCTGTACACTTAGGTAGTAGATGCCCAGTATTGCTCCGAGGTAGTATAGTAAACATGCTCTTAACGAATTTTAGAAAGAGGAGGAAACCAATCCACCCAAATTCTTTTATCCATGACTGGAGACTATGAAACAAATCATTTCATCATTGAATATAGGCCTTGTGAATTAGCTCCTTATCCAACTGTGCATCTCATACAACTAGCTTATTTGCATTTATTTAAATTATCCAATTATGCATCTCACACAACTAGCTTATTTGCATTTTTTAAATTATCCAAATATGCACCTCATATAACTAGCTTATTTACATTTATTTAAAAAACCACAATAACCTCAAACTTTAATGAATGTGGACTAATAAGTGACCAGGTTAGTTGGGCCTCTTAAACCAGGAAAGGAAACCGTCTAGGTTCATTCTCACACTTAGCTCGAATAGCCCATTGTTTTCTAGCAAAATACGGTTGCTCCACTTTTTGAATGACTATAATGCCCTTATTGTATCCTATCCATGGTTGATAGAGAAAAGTGATATTTTAAATGCACAATTTTCACAAAAGAGAAATGGGGAACAATCTAAAAATGTTTTTTTGCCTAGAGTCCTAATAATTTAGGAGATTGTCCGCAAAGAGGTCATTTATATTTTTTGTATAAAGAAATCACAATTACTCTCTCTAATTAGATGTCAAATTGAATGACTTTGGATGATTCACGAAATCTGAGTATTTTTTTTTTGAGTTTTATGTCTAATCAATGACATTTTTTCAACCACCCATTTTGAAATCTAAGGGACAAGAATGGTTATGACCTTATTATAAAAAGGTAAATGGTCTCTTTGTAGACAATCTCATAATTCTTATGCATAAAGCTGTAATAAACTCCTTGTACTTAAATAAATTCAACTATCAAAGATCGGTAAACAAAGAAGCATCCAAAGCATAAACTAGCTTTAACGTGAGCTTCGAAACACCCCCAACCTATTGATTTGGATTAGTCTTGTATTGATTAGTGATCTGAATTGCCAAATCAATGAAAAATATTTAAAGAAAAAAAATTTATACAAGGTTGTAACCTTAAAAGGTAGAATCAAAGATGTACCTCAAAAATCTATTGGAAAAGGTTGTTTTAATGTTTGAAAACTTTCTAATTGATCATCT